CTTAAAATAAGAAAACACAATTGCATTGTCTTATGTCAAGTGCATATTATCTAATTATCATATTTTAAGAGTAAAAATACTCATTCCATTGGCAAACTATTTAATTTACCTACTCAAATAAGGGTAAATTTTTACTTATTTCTAGATCGTTTTTCCAGTCTACAGGGAAACTCCGTCCAGACACAAACACTAGGGAATCAGAAATGCATGAGAGGTTTGGAGCCAAACCACATTGTTTTTATGACAGGAACTCATTACAATTGAAGCCACCTCAACCCTCTTTGAATGTGTTGTTCAGAAATAACCAGCCTATTCAAAGAGCAATGAATCAAACGTTGGAGAGAACAAACTGAATCTGAAGAGAGGATGTTTGTCTGGGAGTTAAGGAAAAAATTAGAGTATGTGCTGAAGGTCTTAACAAAGAAAAATAAAGGTTCATTGTTTGTTTTAACTGAACTTAAAATACTTCACATCATAGTCATGGAGGTTGAGATATTGGTTTACACTTCAGGCCTGATGTTTCCAAGGAATACTTTAAGATTGTTGCCTTTGGAAAATCTGAATGACGTTACAGAAGAAGCTTGAAGATGGATGACTTATTTTTTTTTTTTATATTACTCATTTTTATGGCAAAGCTGGAACACAGGATTCATCAGCACACACAATGGAAGGAATGAACAAACTGAGTTATGGGTTAATAAAAAAGGAAAATGTTGCAGATGCTGTCCTCTGCTGGCTGTGAGTTGTCTGTTCTCCTCACCAACAACCCTGTGTTCAGCTTGATCAGCTCTATCAGCCCCTTTCTAAAGTATTCAGATCAGTTGAGCCTTTCACATGGCGTTATATGCTACAAACACAAACTCTATCTTATTTTTATGATCATATTTCAGACAATTAGAATGCCTACATTTTTCTATAATGCTCTTTACATTTCTGACATAAACAGAATGAGAAATGTTACTTAATAATCCATTATGTTATTCGTCTGGGGTGTAAATATGATGTGACAGAGATTGAAATATTTTTTAAGCAACTCCTAAAAATCAGAAAGACAGAAAAACATACCGTTAAAGAAAAGGAAGTGCAAGTTAATCTCGATAAAGAAGTAGCAACAAGAATATAATTGATACCATTAACTTCCTTCTCTCTCCAGTTTTTTTTTTTTTTTTTGCAAAAAAAAAAATGCACTTTTTGCATTTTTCTTCAGTCCAGGGGTTATACAGGAATGAATAACTCTAATTTAATGCTTTTTAATGCTCTTAGAAATAATTTTAATGCCTCTAACAGCTACCCGTCAATCCACTTTTGTTGAAATTGGCATTCTTCCCCATTCTCTAGTTTTTTCTCAGACTCAAGTTTCTTTTCGGACCATACGTCTTTGCAATCAACCGGGAGCAGTTCCACCCAAATATATCGTGATATATGGCTGACGAAATTGTTTTCATAACAAAATTATTTTTTTAAGAAAGCATTTTAAATGCCACAATAAACACATTTATTGAATTTTAATGCCAATTAAGGCCTTAATTTGAAAAACAACAATTTAATGACTTTTAATGATTTTTAATGACCCGCGGAAACCCTGTCAGTCTTCTTTTTCTGTGATTAAAATTCATTAAAGGTTGTCTTTACCAGCTTTCAACATAAAGCTGAAAGAAAAGCAAATAGAGACTGTTATTTTCCCATTTAGAAAATGGCTCCATGTGGGTTAGACTGATTAATAGAACCTGTTGCCAATATGTTGTTCTACAGATTATCAGTTAGATTCAAGTCTTTACTTTGACTGGACCATGCAAATCATGAATATTCTTTAATATGAACCATCCCACTGTAGGGTGACCCCCGGTACCAAATATTTGCAGCCTTTAAGGTTTTATTCCAGTGTTGAGTTTACAGCCTCCCCAAATCCTGATGTTGCCACCATGTGTCTATATTACAGCAGAACAAAGAGTGCTTTGTTCAAGTAAAATGAGGATGTAAGTTAAAACTGGTTATTTTAAAGGTTTTCCCTTTTTGTGAGGTTTTCAGGTTACCTATAGAGCAGGGGTCTGCAACTTTTCATATCTAAAGAGCCGTTTTGCCCAGAGTACGACCAAATAACAATTGTTTAGAGCTGCAAAATATACCATGACTTTTCTAGAAAACCTTTTTTTTTTTTATCTCGTATAGGAAATTAGTTGTTGCCATCTCAAACAATCAATTTATATATCTTTAATGTTAAAACATATAATTTTCAAACTAATTCATAGAAAAATGTCTCTTAAAACATATTTCTGGTTCTTTTAATCTTATTCTTTTCCATCTTATAAAAAAACGCTAAAGCTACGGTATATATTATAGTAAATTATTGAGCTCTTAATATACATTTTAGCCACTAATAAGAGCCGCTGGAGAGGGTCCAAAGAGCCATATGTGGCTCTGGAGCCGCAGGTTGCAGACCCCTGCTATAGAGGAACACATCACAAAGCCTATCCTCTCACTGATAAATATTACAAATATCCATGTTCTGTTACAGCATAACATGGTTCATTTTCAAATGAGTCCTACTTAACCTGTGATTAGAACAAATTATTTGTTTAATGACAGGTTCCATAATCCGTTGACACACATTAAATTTATATCACCTTTAAGTAGTTTTGTCCAGATTATATCACGGCTTTGTAAGCTAGAATTTTTACTTTCATCTGTTCAACAAATGCAATTAGAAACCCTTTTGACATTTCAAGCAGTCATAGCATTCAGGAAGGAGACAGAACTGTGTTTTTGGTACTAAATGTGCAAATAAACCACAAAACAAAAGCAGAACACCATTAAGAATATAAGATACTGGTAGGAAGGTGTCATTATTCATAGTACACATAAAAGGGTTACCGTATTTTCACGACCATAAGGCGCACCGTACTAAAAGGCGCAGTCTCAGTTATGTGTCCCATTTCTGTATTTAACACACACATAAGGCGCACCGGACTATAGGGCGCATTTTTTATATACAGGTACATGTCCTCTACTCCCTTTAAATAGCTCTACTGCGTATTTTAAAAATACAGCGGGGGCAAAACTGAGTATGACTGTGCTTTATTCATGTATTTATTACAAATTAATCAAACCTGCGTGCTGGCCATGAGACAGACACATCGCAGATGACACAGCGCTGTGATTACTCCTAAATTAACTTAAAATCCTGAAACCTGCCGACGGAATATGTTCGCTTTTATTGCCGGTATCCTGGTGCCTGCACTGTAAATTATTTAGATGAAAAACACCTGCCAGCCGCCGTGTGAGGCTGCTGTTGAAGGGATTTACTGTCGGTGTACCGCTGGTATGTGGGGGTCTGAGCGCCTCCGACAGAAATAGATAATCTGGATGAACTGACTGCAATTAAGTTTTCAGGTGGCCTTTCTCACTTAAAAACATATTAAAACTACTTTATTCCCACTGATCACAGCAAATATAGCTGCAAGATTTAGATTATTTAGATGAAAAAACACCTGCCAGCCGCCGCGGTGAAGAGGAGGAGACGCGCCCAGAGGCTGCTGTTGAATTAAGTTTTCAGGTAGAAAAATAGAGCGGGAGCAAAACTGAGTATGTTTGTGCTTTATTCATGTATTTATTACAAAGTATTAATCAAACCCATCAAAGTCATCATCCTCTGTTTCTGTATTAAACAGCTGCGCTAAATCAGACATGCCAGTTTCCCCTTCTTCGCTGTCAGTCACTTTCTGTGCAGCGCGGCTACTCAGAAATAATGCCGGCTTTTGCGAAAGCTTGAACAATAGAGCCAGCAGACACATTAGTCCAAGCATCTACAATCCATCCGCAATCGGTGGCGTAACTTGCCCGGCGCTGCCTTCCACTTATCCTGAAACTGTGGTCTCCGTCTGTCATCCATCGCTCCCACGCCGCTCACAGCCTTACTTTGAACGGCCGCTTCACACCGATGTCGAGCGGTTGAAGCTCCTTTGTCAGACCCCCGGGATAACGGCGAGCACAGCGTTCATTTGATTCATCTTTTTTTTTCACATCGGCTGTGAGATGGGCACGCAGCGATGGTGTTGCGTGGAAAAAAGCACCTGGTCTCCTCACATACACCTGCCTTTCATCATCTCCCCAGCCCGTTTCATTTGCGTTAATATAATATGTCATCAGAGCGCTGTGTCTGTCTCGCTGTCAGCTCCCAGATCAGCTTCTCTGATTGGTTGATGCGGCGCGTCCAGCAGCAAAACTTCAATTTTATGGCAAGCCAAGAAGCGGCGCGCTCCCGACGCGCTGCACCTGCAGCTCAAAACGCGCTGCAGGACCTTTTGCTGCACCTATACGCGCGTCAACCATTGACTTTGCATGTAAACTCGCTGCTTCTGCTGCACCTGCTGGGTCCGGTTCACACCGATGTCCAGCGGCTGAACAGCGAGCACAGGGTTAATTTGTTTCCCCATGTTTTTCACATCAGCTGTGAGATGGGCACGCATGGAGTTACATATTAACAGCGATGGTGATGAGTGGAAAAAAACCCCACCTGGTCTCCTTACATTCAGCCACTCTTTCATCATCTCCTCAATGAGGTGGTCTCAAAAGTCGCAGTTACAACACACATAAGGCGCACCGCACCATAGGGCGCACCGCACATTTTGAGGGAAAAAAAAGACGTTTAAGTGCGCCTTATAGTCGTGAAAATACAGTAACTCAACAGGATTTCAAGTTCTAACTCAACTATCCTTTTTACCCAAAACAAATCCCCTGAACTGATCATCGTTAACACAGGTTGGTATTTTATTTAAAACAACTGTAGAAGTGGACAGCAACGCCCAAAACCCTGTGTACCGGATGGGGGCGGAGTCATAGTCACATGCTGCACATCTACAGTCTTGTTATTTGTCCAAACAAATAGAAATGAAAAAAAAAACAACAAAAAAAACAAAACAAAACAGCAACTAGAAAAAATATAAAACAACACAAACTTTTAACTAAATCACAAACTTGACATAAATAAATTTTTACTGCTATCTTAACTTGCAGCACTGGTCAATTACTACTTCAGGTATACTTTGGCATAAAATGAACACAAGTCTTTCTGGTCTGCAGCAGTAATGGGTGCAAAACGGTGCATGGAAAGCACCTCACAAACAACATTCACTCTTTTTATCTCAAACATTAAGAAAAGAAACATCCTCATGCAAGCTGTGCTCTGCAAACCAAAGCAGAGTTGACATGCTGCACACTGTGGAGCACCCGAACGACTTAAGGTGCTGCACAAATCTGATCTAGTCTCTAGAAATTAAAAACAAGATGTTGCACGTTCAAGCAAATCTAACTGTTACATCTGGTTCTCTAGCAATTTGAAAATGTGGCGATCAGGCGTCATAGCACGGTGCAGTGTAGCTGTAGTGCATGCTCACTGGGTAAGACCTGCTGGGAACGCTAGGCTTGGACTCTGTGGAAGTGGCAGCGGCTTGTGTGGCGCTATGCTGGGGTCCATTGGGACCCTGCAAGCTGCTAGTCGAGTGGCTGAGGTAGGACCCAGACCTGTGGTTCGCAGCTTTCTGAGGGTACTGCATGGAGGGGAGTTGGAGGTACTGTGTCACAGTGGCCTGCTGGCCAGAGCTGTGGAACGCTGTTTGGCCCTGCTGCTGTTGCTGCTGTTGGCACTTCTGCTTGTTGGCCTCTTTTAAATCACTGTCATGGGCACTGCAGAGGGAAAATGAAAAGTCGATGAGTTTCAGAGTTTGTGCCTTTAAAGATTCACCTTTAATTCTCGTTTATGTGAACCATGTGATCTGTTCTCTCAGTAAAAAATTATTCCTATGGTGCTACTTTGAGATGCTGTCATCTCATCTTGCAGAAGTGTGCATACCTCTCAAACTTCAATGTTATTTGTTGGTATTTTATAAGATGCACAAAATATAACATGAAAACTGAATTCACATTACCCCTCTTTTATTTTTACTAGAAAAAAAACATCTAGCAATGAGTCCACATTTCTTAAATAAAGAGAATTTTCCCTTAAAGGTACACTATGCAACCGGTGTTGATTTTCCAGCGAGACTCCCCCCAGAGGGCGAAAGTAAAAGTGCACTGTCGTAAATATGCACAGCTGTTCTCCTGGTTTCTCCGTCAAGCCAGGCGCGGTTGTTTTGAGCTTAGCAGACAGGCTAACGCAACGAATGACTAATGCTGCGTTCACACCGCAGCTGGCGCGACAGAAGCAGCGAGTTTACATGCAAAGTCAATGGTTGACGCGCGTCTGAGCAGCTGAAGCAGGGAGAGAGACACAGCGCTGATGATCAGAGGCTATGATCTCTCCTCTTAAACAGTTTATTGACGCCTAAATTAACTTAAAATGCAGAAATCTGCCGGCAGAATATGCAGTTTGGATTATTTAGATGAAAAACACCTACCAGCTGCCGCGGTGAACCGCGAGGAGGTGACCTGGCCAGAGGCTGCTGATGAAGGGGTTCCTTCTGTCGGCGCACCGCTGGTATGTGGGGGTCTGAGCGGCTCCGACAGAAAAAATATTGAAGGCAGGATAATAATCTGAATGAACTGACGGCACTGATTACGTTTTCAGGTGTATTTTCTCATTTAAACACATATTAAAACTACTTTATTCCAAATGATCACAGCAAATATAGCTGCAAGGCAGAGAAAGGATAGTGAAGCTCCGCCCAACGCGCGTCAGACACACTTTTGCACCGCACAGCCAGAGCGTCAGAACTAACTGGTTCAAGCAGCAAAAATGAAGCAGCAGACACGATTTTGCTGCTTTTGCTGCGTGAACGTAGCATAACTGCACAAGGATCGCCACTGTGCTAGCAACGAGAATGCTTTTAACTGGGGGGTGTAGCAGTTCTCGGCCGTAAAGCAAGACTGACTCTCACGAGACTTCTGAGCCTGTGGGTGCGGGTCGGTGCTCCTGCAATTGCAAGTGCAGTATTTCCCCCACAGACCACCAGGGCGGCCGAGAATACCTTTGTTCAACCTGAAATGACTCATTTAATCATCCAAAACGTTATGGAACACATTAATTAACTGAAAAATGTTGCATAGTGTGCCTTTAATTCCAGCAGGTAAATAAGATGATCTGCCAATGGAATTTGTATTTTTACTCTTTGAATAAGCTAGTTACATAGAATACACTTGAAATAAGATAATGCAAATGTTTTTTTTCCTATTTTAAATGTAAATTGTTCCATTGTCAAAGAGTTTTCAGAAATTTTAAGAAAAAAATGACTTACCGGTGCATAGATTTCTTTTTTTCAGTGTGCTAATCGATTAATCTGACTATTACGGTATGCTTTCAATTCACCAACTTAAATAGATAAATAAAGCAAAACGTTGCTTAAAGAAGATTTTTGTTTACAGAATTAAAGGTGAAACTAAAACTTTTCCAATTGAGGATTTCTGGATAGAGCATATTGACCGACCAAAATTAAAACATTTTTTTTTTTATATCTTACATGCAAAATGCTTATATATATATATATATATATTTATTTCTTATCTGGGTATAATTACTACTCTAAGTGGATCACTCTGTCAGCTAAAGGCATGTTTTAAAGTCTCCATACCCCAGTTAAAGATAAATCGATTACTAAATTAGTTGACGAGAATCCATCAGAAGACAACTATAAGTTGCACATTTCAAAAATCTGGCATTTATGAAAGAGCAACAACATGTTTAAACACAGTGAATAGAAGTTTGGTTTGGGACAAACCATGTAGACGACTCAGCTAACATTTGGAATAAGGGCTCTGGTCAAAAGAGAGAACGTTACGGGTAAAATGTGTGGCAGGCAGTAACCCATAAACGTGTTTTCACATTGGAACATGGTGATGGCTGCACCATGCTGTGGGGGGATGAAGGGCAGAGAGGCAGTTTAGAGTTAGGGGGAAGATAGCTTCCTTAAACTGGGTTTGCAATCGAAGGGTTTGAACCAATCATGGTCAATTTTTTACAAAAAAAAAAGATCTAATTATCAAAAATACAAATGTCAACAAAATAAAAAAACAAATTGAAATGAAATAAACAACAAAAACTCAGCATTAGATTCACCTGCTAGACAATAAACAACACGTACAATACCTTAATAATCAAAGAAGTCTGAGTTTACCAAGTAAAGGAGAGATAAAAACTGAGTCCTGCACTTTTTGCTTATTGATAAAATATCCCCCTAAAGTTTTTTTTATTTATTTTAGATTAAACCCACTGTGCTGGTGGACTAGATGCTGTTGCCATGGGGTCAGGGGGCCGCACAAAATCCTTCTAAGGGTCAAAATGTCCCTCAGGCCATAGTTGGCACTCATATTTATTGGTTAGAATGGCCAAATCAGAGTTCAAATGACAAATTAATTTAGGAATCTTTCCCAAGACTTAAAAAGTGATGATTTGGACACTGTCTAATGTGACAGAGCTTTTGCCATTTTGCAGGAGAAGAACGGGAAAAAATATTCAGTGTGTGTGCAAAAACACAGAGGATCAATGCTAGGTGGCCCTAAAGCTTTAACTAAAGCAGAAACTGACTAAAATGTACCAGCTTAGGTGGAGCTCAATATAAATGCAGGCTACTAGTTTCATACTTTTAATTGAAAGGAATTAGGAATCAGGTATACCTTTCTCTTTAAATCATCTACTGCTTCATCTAGGCCCATCACATAAATCTTAACAAAACCATTGAAGTTAAAGTGAAACGAATACTTTTTGCCGGGAACCATAGGTACGCACATAAGTAGTTTCTCTACACACGGCATGAGGTTCTCCCATGGGTAGCCCGTGAGGCACTGCAGTCGGGGCGGCCAGCTTGGGGAGAGGTGGAGGATGAGGCGCGATGCGGACAGGCAGGCAGCAGCCACCAGCGAGGGGGTAAAACACAAAAAGAAGTGATCTATGGAAAGGAAAAAAAAAATGTGTTAAATTTGTTAAATGTGGAACCTCAGAAAAAACAAGGATTGAAGGTGGAACATTAAAATAACTTTCATTAGGGAACCTAAAACATTAGATTGAAGCCAACAGATTGTTCTGCCTCTAGCTGTTAGAATACTGAAGTGCTGTTAAGAAACTGCAATTTACACTTCTACATATATTTTACATTTTAGTTTTCTTTCGTGTCTTCTGCTATCCATCAATATCATTTTTTTCACTTTAATGGTGTATTTTCCAAAGAAAAACTCTTGTTTTTTTTATGTAACTTAAAGGTACAGTGGAGGATGCTCTTTTTCTGGGTGGATCATCAAAATAAGTGGTCCTCCTAATTGTCAATCATTCTGGTGATGCGTTTACATAAAGCCGTCGTACGCGCTAATCCCCATTTTCGTTTACTGGTGGTGAGTTTGACATAGTGGAAAAATTGCAAATCTTCTTTTGGAAAGTAAGCTTGCGTGAGCGATGCAAACTAGAGCCCTGCACTCCTGCGGGACTCGTGGGACCCAACGCAAAGCAGTGCAGCATGGGACAAATATTGAAAGCTCAATGCGGGTGGGAGCGGTGATAAGCGGCAGTCTGGCGAACTAAAAACGTGTTTTAAAATGTAAAATAAAGTCATAAATTATGGGATGGGACGATAGGGATGGAACGATTTATGAAAACCGTCCGAATCGTTCGGTTCGACTGTCTTGGTTCGATTCGTGTGTGTTTTGTTCAGTTCATGCGCTGCTCCTTTTTCTCATAGGCGAAGCGTTTACACTCAAGAGCAGAAGGTGGCGGTACTGCGACCAAAGCCAACCACCAGTAGTAAACAAGAAGAAGAAGAAGCGAAGCAGTGTAGCAGAAAAAAAATCAGTTGTTGTGGAGAATTGTGTCGGAATGGCGAGTGGGAAAGAACAGGAGTTGGAAGACGCGCCAGCAGCACTTTATAGGTCTGCTGTATGGGACCACTTTGCATTTAGAGTGACCTACGATGACAGCGGAAAGAAAGCTGTGGATAAAAGTGCAACAGTGTGCAAGCATTGTGCAACACGTTTTGTTTTTGCTAACAGCAACATGTCCGTCAGCAACCCCCGCTGCGCTCCAGACCGGCTGCACAAAGCAAAGCCTACAGCCTCCACTGTGGCTCCCGTCCGCTCCCCTCTGAGTTCCTAGGAGATCGTAGAGAGCATGCGCGAGATGATTAAATTCAAAGCAGCAAAACATACGGAAATTATCCAGGGTTTCCGCGGATCATTTAAAACAATTACAATCCATTATTTTTTGGGGGATTTTTTCATTAATTTCATATATTTTTATGGGATTTCGGTGTAACAATCAACATTTACAGAATCGAACCGAACCGAAAACCGTGACCACGAAACCGTGAATCGAACCGAACCGTGGATTTTGTGAACCGTTCCACCCCTAATATATACACATCACAATGTGCTGGGTGGGGCTCCATCATACGGTGATTAAAATTATTAATTATGACTTATTATATTTTTATTTCCTACGTGAATGTGATGAATAGTGGCATATAAGATTATGCACAATATATTATTCTTAATATCCTCAGTAGATTTTGGTAGGTTAGTTGGGTATTGCTGTGAAGCAGCAGCTCGTGCCACCTAATGCGTGTCATGCAGCTAAGCACATCGTATTTAATTAATCAAACTAATGACACGAATTGCCTTGAGCAGTAGGCGAATGTCGGAATCATGCGGGAATTGCGGGTGGTAGTGGCACAAACTATTACAGGTGCGGGCGGGAGCGGGACTGAACACTGCGGGAGCGGGATTGGAAAATCTGTCCCGAGCAGGCCTCTAATGCAAAAGGCATCTTTTAAGCAGAGCGTGCACAAGGAGAAATGGGCTCATGCACGCTCTCGCAAACTTTTAATAGCCGTACCCTCTCGGGAGAGGTTACAGGGTTGTGCATGTGCGTTTTTATTTTTATTTTTTAAATGGAGAGGGCATGTCTTTGTGAAGATCCTTCACAATACCTTAAACATTCTAAGCTGATACGTTAGTCCAATGAAACAAACATCTTTAGAAAAAAAAAAAGTTAACATCTAGCCATCAACAGTTTTGCATTATTTTTCAACATACCTTGCAAGGAGACTTCTAGGAAGTAGTCGGCATACTTGTTCATATACAGCTTAGTCTTCTCCAGACTGGCCATTGGCCAGCCATCATGCAGATCTCCAGCCAAGACGGCAATAGACAAATAGTAGTCGATGAAATGAGCTGCTGTGGGAAGGTACAAATTCCAGTTGAACGTTTCCAGCAGAAGCAGCTCCATGTGGAGTAAACCCTGCCTGGTCAGGACTAGGTTCATGGAGCTCATGCATCCCAGGCCGTTTAAGGTTTCCAGCTTTGGCACACGGTCCTCCCTTTCCTCAAACTTACCTGTAGGAATCAGGAGAAAATTGCCCCCATTAGTCCAATCAAGCTAGTATGAAACTACCCAAATGAAGCGACTGAGAGGTCACAGAGACACATACATGCCAGAACGAGACAGGAAAGAGAAACCATGTGAAGCTGCTGCACCGTGACATCGTAGCGGTCCATGAAGAGGTCCAGCAGGTAGACGGCCAGGTGTCTGGCTGTGGGACAAAGCTGGAAGCGGTTGCTGATGATGGCGATCAGGTCTGCAAAGTATCTTCTGAGGTTCAGCTGAGGGGACTGGCCTTTGTAGGAGGGCAGTTTGAGCTCCTGTGAGGAAGCAAATCCATAATCAATCCATTTTCGCCACTTTTATAATCTGAAAGATTCAACAGGGCAGGGTTGGATTATGCAACGAGAAAACTGATTTGAGGCAGATCTTTCAGTTATCAGGCTCTTCTCCTGTGGAACCAACTGTCTGGTTCTGCTGGAGGTTTCTTCCTGTTCAAAGGGAGTTTTTCTCTCCACTGTCGCTACAAACATGCTTAGTGTGAGGGATTGCCTTCGAGTCAATGAGTCGATGCAATCAACTGGTTTTCTTTAGATAGCAAACTTTGAATCAGTTTGACTGTATGATCTGGTAAACTGTAAAATGCCTTAAGATGAAATGTGTTGTGAATTGGCGCTATAGAAATAAACTGAATTGAATTTGACATAACATTATGACCACAGATAGATATAAAGTACATAAAAAATAAATTTTTAACTAAAGAGATGTACAGTCTGTAATCTTGCCGTCCATATTGGTGCTACTTGGACAAATATCACCATCATAAACATTACTCCAGATCATCTACATAATTTAATGGAAACATCACCACCTGTTTACACTTTCAGTAGAATATTGCACCGTAACTAAGAATCTACTGCTAAGATCTTGATGACAGATACCCCTGCATGTTTCTGGGTGTAGATGCTTCAACGGGTCAGGTTAGAAAAAAGGTATGTGGTCATATGTCTCGTCCGATAGGTAGAACATCAGCAGGGACAATAAAAATATTATAAGCATAATTCAATTCAATTAAATTCAGTTTATTTATATAGCACCAATTCACATCATGTCATCTCAAGGCACTTTACAGTTTAACACGATCATACAGTCAAATTGATTCAAAGTTTTCTATCTAAGATGTTTGCATCGACTCATTGACTCAAATGGCACTAAGCATGCTTGTAGCGACAGTGGAGAGGAAAAACTCCTTTTTAACAGGAAGAAACCTCCAGCACAACCAGGCTCAGTGTGAGCGGCCATCTGCTGGGGCCGACTGGGGTTCAAGGAGACAGAAGCAGAGATACAAAAAGCAACTGTAAAAGGCGTCCCCATTCAGAAAGAGAGCACATCCAGCCAGGCACAGTCAGAGAAACAGGACTACACTGGAAAACAGGCCGATCTCCAAAATCTATAAACAAAGGTGTAGATGGCAGAAGCACAGCAGATATTTTTCTATATATATATTTCATATATATATTTTAATAATCAATTCAAATACATATATTTATATATATATTTTTGTTCAAATTGCAGCTCAACTTGTGGCCCAGTAGCCCTTACTTTATATCTGAGCGCCTGGTAAATATCTGCAGCAACTTGCCCCTTCCACCATTGGTCCTCTAGCTCCATTTAAGTGATCTGGAAGCTCCTGGGTGTTAAAACAAAGGAAGGTAATTAGTAAATTCCTATAATGTGCTGAAGATGATCCTAACATTTAAAACGCAACTTTTGTAAACAAAATACAACCAGTTTTCAGTGGCGTGGACATACATTGTTGGAGCAGACTCACCCAGTTAGCACAGGTGCTGCTGAGCTCTGCGGGCAGCAGGTTCTCTGAGGGGAAACTTTAAAGCAGCGGCTCGCGCTTCGTTCGGACTCATTGTTTATTAGGCTGCAGCAGCGCGAGCTCAGCTACAGGTGCGCTCAAGTGCTGCTCGGAAACCTTAAAACACACCTAGGTGTTTTATAGCCGCTGGTACATTATGTTAACCTGACAACAGCCAGATGCATGTCTCGCTCCGCCTAGTGGAGCTAGACATGCATCTGGCTGTTGTCAGGTTAAAATTATGTTTGTTGGTGTTGTCAAAATTTATTAAAGATAAGGAAACTCAACTTTATGAGTTGTTTTTTTTTTTTTATTTTTATTTTATTTTATTTATTTTTTAATTTATTTTCATTGAACATTAAAAAATGGATGCATAGAATTACAGTGAACGCTTCTAGCGATAATGATATATTTTTTTGTTGACACTTGAAAGCATCACTACGTCATTGTGCAGAGGACACTAGCCCAGGCCATTATGACCAGAGGCGTAGCTAGGAATTTTTTATAAGGGTGGCCAGGCAGTAACCGATGTACACTGAGGGGGGGTTGAAAGTGGATAGGCACCAGAACCTCACGGTCAATCTATGCCATATGGGGGGGAAATGTTAGGACGATTCTAAGGGCCCTTGACTGAGGTGGAGGGGACAAAAGGAGAAGAAAAGATTTGTCCTGCTATATTCTTCAAATATAAAGAGAAAACCCAGCAGTAAAATAAATAATCTTCATATTTTCCATGATTTTTTTTTATCAGTAAACAGTGAAACAAAGCATGACTATATTTAACCCCCCCCCCCCCCCCCCTTGTGAAATTGAAATACATTTTTGGTCCTCGCATCCTGGTTGCATTGCATCAGGTCTCGCCGTCTGTCAGCGGCAGATTGCTCGTACTGGGGCTTAAATGCAATGCACGTCATTTGACGTAGCGACAACGAAATAAACAAGTGAACAAGAAAATATATAAAGAAGCAGCAGTGTGGTTAAAAACATCTGTGGCTGAAAAATGCAGCGTCCCAAAGTCTGGGTTTCAAAAAGGAAGAGAAAGGAAGAAGAAAGGAGAAAGAGGAGAGAGGGAGAAGGCGTCCGATACGTTCACCCAGTTTTTTTTTTAGAAACAATTTTTACCTGAATAGTTTAAATTAACAATAAATTATTAACCTGTTGAGTAAAATGAGACTGATCTGATCTGAAAATGATCTGCTGGGTACAACTACATAGTTATTCTTGCTCAATATCGGAGGGGAATCACATCATTAATGATGCTGCTCAGCTGGGTGCTGTCTGAAAAGGAACATGATTGCAAGTTTTTTTTTTTTTCATTATTTTGTTGATTTGTTTTTAACTTTGAAGAAAAAAACAGGATTAATCGAGCATTTATTGAGCCTATTATGTGTCTGTAAATAACAAAACGGCCAAACAACTGAGCCAGAAATCTCCCAGAGCTGAGAATTTAGCTTTACCAACCAGATCGGGCAACAGGAAAACACCATAGTTATCAGAGGTTTAACATCAGTTAAATGCTAATAGATGTTTAGCATGATATTTACATTAAATAAAATATGTGTCAATATTAAAACAGTTTAGTTTGATCTTTATAGGTAGATGAAATTACAACAATTAAAAGACATCTATAAATATTGATAATTCTCATAAGTGGCCTGAAGCAGCCACATAAAAAATACATGTTTTGTCATTACATGCACTGATTAATGAAAAATATGTTCTCAGGGCCAGCATAAAAGTTGAGGGCCAAATATCACTGACCAGATTTGTGTTCCTCTGTGCCACTTATTTTATGTTATTACTGGAAACATGGGAAAAAATTAAAGCACTTGAAAACAATTATTCTACTCATCTTAAAAAAGAAATGATCGCTTGTTTTTTTTTTTGGTTTTATTTATCAGAAAGCATGTCCAGAACTTTAATACAAGCTGAAAATGTAGGAAAATATGTAGCAAAGGACCGTAATCACACTGTAACATATGGCAAAGGATCAGTAATGCTGTGGGCCTGTTTTTCCACGCTCACAACATTATAAAACAAAATTTAATTCTGTTTAGAATTTCTGTTTTTAGATAAAATTATTTTTATTGTTTTTACATGTTTTTATTCAGGGTTTTAATACGTTCGTGTCTGTGAAACAATGAGCTTCAGAGATTATTTGCTTTCTCCTCAAAGACCTGTGTGGAAAATAATAGCTCTGATCTTCATCCAGCCTTTTGTACATCACCATCCATTGATCTAAATGTTTTAACAACTGTGTTGACCATAAAGTTGTGTGCAAGCAGCTATTTTCTTCTTGCCATTGTTTAAGTAAATGACCATCCACATATATTTCCCTTATTTTGATGACAAGTCCTTTTATCCTCCATATTTTAAAGGGTGACTATGGGAAATGGGCCACTTTCTAACTTTTTTGCACAGGTAAAACAGCATATATATAAACTACTGTATGGAACCAGCTTTAAGTTCAACTCGGATTGTTTTCTATGGTGCCAGCTCACCATATACAGGTGCTGGTCATAAAATTAGAATATCATGAAAAAGTAGATTGATTTCAGTAATTCCATTTAAAAAGTGAAACTTTTATATTATATTCATACATTACATACAAACTCATATATTTCAGATGTTTATTTTGTTTAATTTTGATGATTACAAATGACAACAAATGAAAATCTCAAATTCATCATATCAGAAAATTAGAATATTGTGAAAAGGTTCAAAATTGATGGCCCCTGGTGCCACACTCTAATCAGCTAATTAACTCAAACCACCTGCAAAAGCCTTTAAATGGTCTTTCAGTCTAGTTCTATAGGCTACACAATCATGGGGAAGACTGCTGACTTGACAGTTGTCCAAAAGACGACCATCGACACCTTGCACAAGGAGGGCAAGACACAAAAGGTCATCGCTAAAGAGGCTGGCTGTTCACAGAGCTGAGTGTCCAAGCACATTAATAGAGAGGCGAAGGGAAGGAAAAGATGTGGTCGAAAAAAGTGTACAAGCAAGAGAGATAACCGCACCCTGGAGAGGATTGTGAAACAAAACCCATTCAAAAATGTGGGGGAGATTCACAAAGAGTGGACTGCAGCTGGAGTGAGTGCTTCAAGAACCACCACACACAGACGTATGAAAGACATGGGTTTCTGCTGTCGCATTCCTTGTGTCAAGCCACTCTTGAACCACAGACAGCGTCAGAAGCGTCTTGCCTGGGCTAAAGAGAAACAGGACTGGACTGCTGGTGAGTGGTCCAAAGTCATGTTCTCTGATGAAAGTAAATTTTGCATTTCCTTTGGAAATCAAGGTCCCAGAGTCTGGAGGAAAAGAAGAGAGGCACTTCATCCACGTTGCTTGAAGTCCAGTGTAAAGTTTCCACAGTCAGTGATGGTTTGGGGTGCCATGTCATCTGCTGGTGTTGGTCCATTGTGTTTTCTGAGGTCCAGGGTCAACGCAGCCACATACCAGGAAGTTTTAGAGCACTTCATGCTTCCTGCAGCTGACCAACTTTTTGGAGATGCAGATTTCATTTTCCAACAGGACTTGGCACCTGCACACAGTGCCAAAGCTACCAGTACCTGGTTGAAGGACCATGGTATCCCTGTTCTTAATTGGCCAGCAAACTCTCCTGACCTTAACCCCATAGAAAATCTATGGGGTATTGTGAAGAAGAAGATGCAATACACCAGACCCAACAATTCAGAAGAGCTAAAAGCCACTATTAGAGCAACCTGGGCTATCATAACACCTGAGCAGTGCCACAGACTGATCGACTCCATGCCACGCCGCATTGCTGCAGTAATACAGGCCAAAGGAGGCCCAATTAAATACTGAGTGCTGTACATGCTCATACTTTTCATGTTCATACTTTTCAGTTGGCCAACATTTCTATAAATCCTTTGTTTTTATTGGTCTTCAGTAATATTCTAATTTTCTGATATGATGAATTTGAGATTTTCATTTGTTGTCATTTGTAATCATCAAAATTAAACAAAATAAACATCTGAAATATATGAGTTTGTATGTAATGTATGAATATAATATACAAGTTTCACTTTTTAAATGGAATTACTGAAATCAATCTACTTTTTCATGATATTCTAATTTTATGACCAGCACCTGTATGTGCACAGGATGAACAGCTTCAATTAAAGTTAGGGATCAGTTGTTAAAATATGTCTGCTAAAGGAAAGTCACAATTCAAATGATTAAAAAATATAGATTCTTAAAGATCTTTATATATTCTTGTCAGGGAGCATTTCTCACTCCTCATGGTTCATATTGTACATAATGCAGTGTTAAAGTACATTGACTCTTTCAGAGTTATTACAACAACTGGAGTAAGATATACACTATGTAGAGAGTTAATTTAACATTGCTTTAGAGTGGGACCAATGCATTCAGATTGGTGTTGAATTCAACTTTTTAACACTGCAAAATTTTACTGTGTAGGAAGATCATGCTGGTGGGAATTTACCAGTTCTGTTTCTATCTGTCATGAAAGTGAACATAGAAGTGCATTACAAATGCTTTCATTGACATCTTGAATGTTCTCTAATCCAAATGTGAGATAATTGTTAACAAATGTTAAATAAAAACAGTGTGATAGTGATGCTGAGCTCCATTTCCAGCAGGCAGATTAAAAAAATAAACTCCTGCCAGAGACTTCATTTGATTTTGCATTACTTTGCTGATCAATAAATCTCAGAAAAAGTTAAATATATCTTCCAAGGAGACCCTGTCAGATTAAAGTACCTTTTGAAATTTTGCAATTTACGTATGTATTAAACAAACCTATTTATTCAGCACACTTTAAAACTGAGGTCTTCAACAGGAGGTCCGCGACCCCTAGGGGGTCCACGAAGGTACTGAATGGGAGTTTTGGTTTATTACACTTCTTTTTATATTCCCCCCTGCAATTTTTTCCACTAATTGAAATGTCTTTAAATACACATTAACATGAATTCAACACACTGCAGTAAACAGATAAATGGAAGCAGATGTCTTTCAGTCATCAATGCACACATTCAGCGACACACAGGAGCTCTTTTAAGCTGGGCACCGTTTCATTCACAACACCTGTCCCATCAACAAGGAATCAGAATCAGAAATACTTTAATAATCCCAGGGTGAAATTACTTTCCTTACATTACTCCGTATTTAATAG